TATATTAGATGATATGGGGAACCACTGGAATCCCTCTTGGGTAAAGCAGACATCTGAAACCTGCCATATTAATATCCATTTTGAAGCTAATTTCATGCTGGACAAGAATATGCAGGTTAGCAGACTATAACCTGTAGGTATTCAGAGATATCAGTACTTATACAAAACTGTACCTGGGATATAGAAATAAACACAGTGACATCCCAGGGCCACTCCTCAGCCGCTTAATTGATCAGATGGTCTCTGTCAACACCTCTTTGATGCCAAAAAAACCCCATAGTTGACAACTCTCATGTACCATCAAATGAAGGAAGATCTGTCAAGTTATGAGAGCCAATATATTACCTAGCTCATTTGACTGAAGGCTGCTGAAACCAGGACTTGAAAGTATTTTAATCTTCAACTCCAGCTACCTTTTTTTTACATATTTTATTTGCACCATTTTTTACCTTTTCATTATTAAACTATATTTTCAAAAGTGCTAAAACTATCTCTAATGCCATAATGCAAATTGAAAGAAATATTGAGAACATGCCTTACTTCTCGGTTAAAAAAAGTAGGTCGTGGTATTTTAAAGGGTTAATTGCTTAGTTAACTAAACCCATTGACAATCTCTCTCAGTCTGCTGGTACCTAGATTATGGTCTTAGAAAATCATTGTGCAGGGTGGGCTGAGAGTGTCATTGTTGTGTATCAGTGACAGTGACAGAGGTTGACTGGTCATTTGTCACCAGTCCATGAAGAGGAGAGTGGTCTGACACCTCGTTTGTCACAGTATGTAGTATGCATAATGTATGTTTTTCCATTAAAAAAATGTTGGCTAAAGAATTTTCAGAAAGATGAACTGTATGATGTGAGAAGGTCCAGTTTACTGCTGTGTTTCTGTTGATGGGAACTTTGAATTCCACAAATATTTAGCTTTTATTGCACAGCAGAAATACTTTATCATCTACCTGAATATTGCAAACAAAACATTACACCTTCATGCTAAGTTAATCTTATCAAAGCTTGCCTTCCAGGATCAATATTGACTTAAACAATTCTTTTCAGTCTTTACATACCAGAGTGTGATGAAATAAGTATTTTAGGGCTCATTAACACTTCTGTGCTTAAATCACATCTTTTTAATGTGCATGTATAGGCTTTTTTACACTTTTTTCGTGGTTTCGCTGGTTTGCATTTTGCATGCATTTAGTGAACCTGTAGGAAATAAACAACTTTACTTATCCTCCATGGCAGGTACCATTAGCTGTCTGTATTCTCCTATTGAGTGTCCCACAACCTGAAAATTTGCAATACATTATGGATTCATTTTCAGTGGTAGCTGGTTTTCAACATGCTTCTTCCTCCCTCATGTGTATTTCTATTTTTTAACAAGCATGCATGAGCCAATATTAACAGACAGAAGAGATAGAAGGTGGGGTGCTGAGTAGCAATCACAAAGATGGTGCAGACAGAAAAGCCATGGGAGCAGAGGATAGAAACAGAGCTGATATGCTGAAATCTGAAGGTGCCTACTATTCTTGTTTATTGTAGCAAATTCTAGGTGTTGCTTGGTGGACAGGGCATGTCTTGGAAAACCGGTGGACATGGCATGCCTTTGAAAAACATTACTCTATTCAGAGCTGTAAAAAGTTTCAGTATGCATTTTGCTCACATGATTTAGTAACATCATTCTGTTATACAACCAATGAGGTCAGTTGTCGGTGAAGGTGTTCATTAAAGAGGAGTTCCACTCACTCTGTAAAAAAATAAAAGTCAGCAGCTACAAAAACTGTAGCTGCTGACATTTAAAAAACAGCCACTCACCTGTCCCACGATCCCGCATTGCCCCCGCGCCCCAGCCCATTTCACCAGCAGGTGTGGGCACCCGGCTGTGACAGCTTGCGGCTTCACAGCCGGGTGCCCGTTGCACATGCCTGAGTAGCGCTGAGCTTCCTGAATGGCCCTGTTGTCTTCTGGGACCTGTCACATGTCCCACAAGACTTTGGGGAGGGAGTGTAGGAAGATAACTTCCGTTTCCAATTGCCTAGGCAATCGCAGCGGAAGTGGGAGCGGGTACCTGTCAAATATGGGAACCTGTTCCGCTCCCCAAAGGTGCCAATCCTTAATGGGGAGTGGGGGACCAATCTTTAAAGCGGAACTTCCCCTTTTGGGTGGAACTCCGCTTTAAACTTGGTCATGGTATAACTAGTAGCAGTTACATTCATCTGGACTGGTTCTGTAATGTCGAAGACATTTCACAGCTTATTCAAGCAGTTTTTTTCAGTTATAATGAGTGTCAGAAACAAAACCCAACATTTATATCCACCTGGGCGCTCATTAATCCAATCATCATTGAATGTGTCAAGGCAGCAGTTGATTTTCCAAGAACATGATGGAAGGTGTGAAAGTCTGTGGAACCAACCTGTTCTAATTACACTATCCAACCCCATAGTGCCAAGAAGTTAATCATCCAATTTACATGGCTCAAGGTGTGAACCTTTGTCAAATTACTGGTATAGAGATGCTGAACCGAGACCAGTTGTTTAGTGGTAGGGAAGTTCTGTCAGACTAAATATAACAGTTCCTTGCAGTATGTGCATGTCTCTAGAAATATGCTGCAGTCTTTGATAATATTGTGGTTCTCTCTTGAAACATATGGTATTGCGTATGCTAGCATTTAGTATTTTATAGAAACATGGTGGTTCTAGCTGTATGATTTTTTTGAACATTCAGCACTCTCTGGGTAGCATGCAGAAATCTCTGATAACATGCAACACTGTTAATAAGGTCATCCACCACTGCAACAAGACCAGCATTCTTATTTTTTATCAGAGCCACCGAGTTCTGTTTGCATATAGTAAACTTTAAAGGACAACTGTAATTAAAGTGCTTTAATCTAAAAGCCTCAAGCCCACCCTTACTCTTTTCTAACTAACCTATACTAACACCCCAACTCCAGCATCCTACTTACCTCTGAAGAAGAGGTACATTCTGTGTATTGTTTACTTCTCTTTAGGTGGAATTCTTATATAGCCCTGGCTACACATGCATACTAAGCCTCCGTAGACTTACATGGGTCCATCTTAGTATAGGCAGGTGCAGGGGTGGACTGACAACTCATGGGGCCCCCGGGCAATAGGGGATCATGGGGCCCCTTTGTCCTTGCTCATACTCAAAAAAGCCTATGAAAAAGGTACCAGGGGCATCTCATGGGGCCCCCTACTGACCCCAGGCCCTCGGGCAGTGCCTGAGTTTCCAAATGGTCAGTCCGCCCCTGGGCAGGTGCTGGACTGCAGTGTATCCACTGACTGGAAGGTGGCACTTTGCCATTTCTTCTTGCTGGTAGGAAACCAAATAGGACTTAAGGTGGGAATACACGATTAGAAAATCAACCGATTGGTCATCCAACGACCGAGAGGCGTTCGTTCGTTCGTTTGTCGAAACCGTGGCCCACATTAACCAATCTAAAAAAATAATTTGTTGGGCAATACGTAGTGTTGACGTCTTCCATACAAGTGGAAGTGATGCAGTGTGCATGTGACCTTGTAGCCACGCCCTTCTGGCCAGAACAAGAGATATACACAACAATTAACAGCAATGAGTATAATATAGTTTATTACATTACTTATATACATAAATAATGATACATAAAATATGCATCATTCTGGTGTCATTATCTCATTAGGCCAATCTACTTCTAACATTTAGATTTTTCGTTGTGTTTACGAAGATTCCTTGGACATAAACATTTGAGTCATCTTCTGTTTCTGCTCATGCATGGTAGCGCTTGATAAATTTTCTTCGTACGACCGTCATAGAAAATCGGTCGTTCGTATGCGAAACGACAACACTTTTCATTGTTGTTTAACCGGATTTTTTCATTCACAATATCATTATCGGTTAAAACATTCTGCTTATCAAGGAGGAGCAAATCGTTCAATCAGTGGTTCCGCAAGATTTTTCGTACAATTTTCTTATCGTGCGTACGGAGCATAACTTGTACTCTGCTATGGACTCCCAGTGGCCATTTTGGGGAGGACAGCATATCTTATTGGATACCAAAATCCCAAGAGATTTGGGTGAACCTTCTAAAAAAGGAGAAACAAAATATACCTGTACTCAAATCTCAATAGCTTGTACATGCATTTATCTATCAGGTGCTAAAGGGGTGTAGTCACATGTTAACACTGGAAATCCTGGAGGAACCCACACTGCTAATTATCCTTACCAGCAAACATTGCAATGCAAAATAGGGATTTTTAGTTCACATATATTGCAATACATGTTTAGGCTGGCCACCTGTGTCAAAGTAATTCCTGTATGGCCAGTCCTACTCTGCCAAATGCTACTGTGGACACAATACCAACCTTCTGCAAACAGACACAAAGTGGGGGAAATCTATTTGGGTTTAGGTTTGGCTACTGATCTGCAGAAACAAGATATAGGATCCCCTGTGCTAGGACCCAATACCTCTGCAAATATGTTGTACATGCATTTATTTAGGTTAGGCGCTAGAAAGGGCTTTAGCCACATGTTAACACTAGAAATCCCAGAGGAAACCCTCTGCAATATATGTGAACTACAAAATTTGTATTTTTTCAAAAATTGCAACGTTTGCAAAGGATAGTAATGTCCAAAATAAGCAATGTACAGAGGGTTCCTCTGGGATTTCAGTTAGTGTTAACATATTTCTACACCCCTTTAGCACCTGATAGACAAAATGGGTACTTGTCATGTGTTAATTCACCTTTTTTGTGCCTGAAATACTTGATTCAGGAAAAATATATATTTATATATATATATATATATAATATGTTTTATTTAAATATTAAAAAATATATATATATATATATGTTTATATATATATAAATAAACAAATACGGTGAATTAACAGACAAGTACCAACAAATGCATGCCCAAGCTATTGGGATTTGAGCACAGGTATAGCTTGTTTTTGTTGCATAACAGGTCAGTAGCTAGACATAAACCCAAACCTTTGTGTCTGTTTGCCCCAGGTGGGCATTGGGGTTGATTTACTAAAGGTAAATAAGCTATGCACTTGGAAGTGTACTGCAATTGCAGTTGCTTTAGATCTGAGGCAGGGGCGGAGTGACAACTCATGGGGCCCCCTGGGCAATAGGGGATCATGGGGCCCAAATGGTCAGTCCGCCCCTGATCTGAGGGGACGCTCTGAAATGAGAAGAAGCTCTGATGATTTCTTTCATCCAATCATGTGCAACGAAAGATCTGTATTTTTTTTATTTTCCTTGCATGTTCCCCTCAGACCAAGAGCAGCTGCACTTCTTTCCTTGCACTTGCAGTGCACAGCCTATTTGATTTGCCTTTAGTAAATCAACCTCATTGTGTCCACAGTATCATTTGCTTTGGCAGAGTAGGACTGACCATAGAGTGATTACTTTGACACAGCTGGCCAGCTTAAAACATGCATGGCAGTGTGAACGAAAAATCCATATTTTTTATGGCAACATTTGCTGAAAAGGCTAATTAACAGTGTGCATGTAAGATCAAACCACTCAAATCCCCAATCGGCTGAAGTCACAGAGCTGCAAGTATATAAGAGGCTAATGCAAATAGATACTGCGCTAGGTGAACCCTTAAAACTTTGTGAGCACTATAGAGACCTTTACACCTATGAAAAGTGATCAAAAATTGAAAATAAAGCACTGTAATAGTTAAACTAAGTAAGTGCATACATATGCTCTATGAAGACCCTCACACCTCTGAAGGGTGATCAAAATTTGAAACAAAAAATTACATAAATGGAGTGAGTACAGTAATCATAAATACATATAAGAAACCATGATATGTGGTCAAATTAACCTAAAATTTCATGCATTATCTATGAGACCTATGAAGACCCTCACACCTCTGAAGAATGATCGAGGTTGAGGATAGGTCAAATCTCAATGTGCAAAAATTCACCTCAAATATACATAAAGGTTAGTAGAAAATTTTCAAAACCAAAAAAAAAAACAATAACAAAACGTCCATATAGACATAAACCAGGGTCCATAAGTATGAGGGTCTTCATAGGGCTCATAGATAAAAATGCATGAAATTGTAGGTTAATTTGACCACATATCATGGTTTCTTATATGTATTTATGATTACTGTAATCACTCAATTTCTTTAATTTTTTTTTCTTCAAATTTTAATCTCCCTTCAGAGGTGTGAGGGTCTTCATAGGGCATATGTATGCACTTATATTTTAACTATTACAGAGCTTTATTTTAAATTTTTGATCACTTTTCAGAGGTGTGAAGGTCTCTATACTGCTCACAAAATTTTAAGGATTCACCTAGCGCAGTATCAATTTGAATTAGCAGTGTGCAGAGGGTTCCTCCGGGATTTCTCGGGTGACCATCCTGACACAGAAATCCTTAAAAAGGAGATTTTGCATCATTCATTGTGCCTGCAGTGTGAGGGTAAAATAGTGACAGAGCCCCTGCTGCATAGGCAGAGAGTAGGAGTAACATTAGGGAGAGGTACCTATCAAGGAGGGAAAGAATAGGTTTCCCATTACAGGGTTTCTCCTCTGTTAACTTCACAAAACTGTCTCCCACTAGCATGCAAATATCTGCAGGGACTTTGGGGGATCTCAGTGTGCCAAGGAAAGAGTGTCCAAAGGAAGTGCTATCATGGCATTCTGTGATCTGTACATGTGTATCATGACTCTGTTGGAAATCTGCCTTGCTGACAAACATTTTCTCTGCTTGAAGAACTGCATGATCTGCACCATACAGTACACAGTATGTAGCACCATTGCTATTGCAGCCTTGTTAGGCCCTACCTACAGTGCAAGCTTCCAGGATGGCCCCCTACAAATCTATGAGTCAAAATGCAGACCTGAGCATTGCTGTTGTAATGGTCAATAATGCAACAAACTCATCCCCTGACATGAATACACTATATTGCCAAACCCCTCCAAATTATTGGATTCAGGTGTTCCAATCACCTCCATGGCCACAAGTGTATAAAATCAAACACCTAGGCATGCAGACTGCTTCTACAAACATTTGTGAAAGAATGGGTCGCTCTCAGGAACTTGGTGAATTCAAGCGTGGTACCGTGATAGGTTGTGTGACGGAGGGTAGGCAGGACAGAACACACAGAGTAGACGGCAAACGCACAAAGCTTTATTGAGACAAACAGATGACAGTCACTCCATAGAGGGATTAGCAGGGAGGGTGAATTTGCCAGTAAAGGGTAGCAAGGAGGGGCCAATCCACTTATAGTCCAACACTGAGAGCCAAGGAAGAGTCTCTGTAGCAATTGTAATCCAAAAAGGGGGGGGGGTCAGCACAGTAACAGTTCAAGTAAAACAGGGAGAGAGCATGTACTCACGGATCCGAAAGGGTGTCCGGTCTCCTGAGGATAGAAAGTGGAACACAGGTACCTGTTGGAGTCCGGATCGTGTGTGCGGTCTCCCCTTTTGGGCTGGGTCCTCGAGCGACTGGCAGGCAATCTTGCAATCTCTCCCCTAGGCTGGGGGTCTCTGGATCTCTGGCAGCTGGCAGGCAGTCCCACAATCTCTCCCCTGGGCTGGGGGTCTCTGGATCCCTGGCAGCTAGCAGACAGTCCCCCAATCTCTCCCCTAGGCTGGGGGTCTCTGGATCTCTGGCAGCTGGCAGGCAGTGGCTGGGGGTCTCTCGGTCCCTGGCAGCTAGCAGGCAGTCCTGCAATCTCTCCCCTAGGCTGAGGGTCTCTGGATCCCTGGCAGCTCGCAGGCAATATTCCCCTGCTCTGGCGGGGGCCTTAGGCAGGCTTGGGTCTCTGCAGAGTCTGGCCACAAAGGTACCGCCGCAGCTGGGGCTCCTTCAGTGGCTGTTCAGCGATGAATGCCCCTGGAGTGCCCGGCATCAGCTTCTTAAGCTGATGTCGGACGCTCCCTGGTCGTCTAGGCAACCGGGGCAGGCCGGAGATGGCGTGCCTCGTTGCCCGGCAATGAGGCATGTCGCCTGGACGGAGGCCGCGCCTCTCGTGAGCGTGGCCTTTGTCCAAGGACAGCCGCAAGCACAGGAACCTCCCATGCCCGCGCTGCAGATGACAGGGCTGAGGTGGCGTCAGCGAGACGCCATAGCCCAGAACATCTCTGCGGGGAGGTTTGCACCTCCCCATGGAGAGGTGTGAACCTCGCCACCTTCTCCTCTCTGGCCTCTCTGGCCAGGATGACACTGGACCCCCCATGGGACATCAGAGGGCTGGGGGCCTCTATACCGTGATAGTTTGCCATCTGTGCAATAAGTCCATCCATGACATTTCCTTGCTACTAAATATTCCACAGTCAACTGTTAGTGGTATTATAAGAAAGTGGAAGCAACTGGGAACAACAGCAACTCAGCCATGAAGTGGTAGGCCATGTAAAATGACAGAGGGGGGAATGAAGAGCACAGTGCGCAGAAGTCACCAACTGTCTGCAGAGTCAATAGCTAAAGACCTCCAAACTTTATGTGGCCTTCAGATTAGCACAACAACAGTGCATAGAGAGCTTCATGGATTGGGTTTACATGGCCAAGCAGTTGCATCCAAGCTTTACATCACCAAGTGCAATGTAAAATATTGTATTTAGTGGTATAAAGCCACTCTAAAACAGTAGAGATGTGTTCAAATCACTCTTCCCTGTCTGGCAATCTGATGGACATGTCTGGGTTTGGCAGTTGCCAGGAGAACGGTACTTGACTGACTGCATTGTTCCAAGTGTAAAGTTTGGAGGAGGGGGGATTATGGTGTGGGGTTGTTTTCCAGGGGTTGGGCTTGGCTCCCTAGTTCCAGCGAAGAGAACTCTTAAGGTGTCAGCATACCAAGAATTTTTGGACAATTTGATGCTGGGGACAGTTTGGGGATGGCCCATTCCTGTTCCAACATGACTGCGTACCAGTGCACAAAGCAAGGTCCATAAAGACATGGATGAGCTAGTTTGGGGTGGAGGAACTTTACTGGCCTGCACAGAGTCCTGACCTCAACCCAATAGAACACCTTTGGGATGAATTAGAGCGGAGACTGTGAGCCAGGCCTTCTCGTTCGACATCAGTGCCTGACCTCACAAATGTGCTTCTGGAAGAATGATCAGACATTCCCATAGACACACTCCTAAACATTGTGCACAGCCTTCCCAGAGGAGTTGAAGCTGTTATAGCGGCAAAGGGTGGGCCAACTCAATATTGAACCCTATGGACTATGGTGTCTCAGTACTTTTGGCGATATAGTCTATTTCACTTCCCATATGCTATTTTCCGGAAAGGACCATTAGTAACTGTACTAGTGCTGGAACTGAGGCTACTGCTTCCATATGCTTCTCATCTTTCCATAGTTCAAAAACACTACCACATAACTACCACATAATCATGACACCACTCAAATCGTATCCATCATTTCAAATATAGTTTGGGCCAGTTTCAAGGACTACACAATCACAACTAATACATTGACATTGACTCTCTCTATAAAGTACTTACTGTTCCTTAGATTTATCAGAACATTATTTTTTTCAATGTACAGTAGTGAAACAGTTCCTGGAACAAGTTTAAAAACTTTTTAAAGGATTGCTCCCTCTTATCAGGTGAGTGCCCTATTATTTATTCCAGTTTAAAATCTCAAAACGGAGAAAAAGTGCTTTTTATACTACACATTTTATGATGGCGAAAACAAGGTTGTCAAATTGAATTAGGGGATCATTTATCAAGCATTTTTTCTCAGTTAGCCCTAGAGAAGGTACGACATCACTGTTAATAATAAAATACTCCCTATTTAAAGCTCTGCATGTCGGTTTCTGACAAATAATATGCTAAGGAAAATGTGGAAGATGTAGAAAGGAAGACACATCCTTTATAACAGTTCACCTTAACATGTATAAAGTGTGAAAATTACCTGTGTTGCTGGCATTTTAATGCCAGGAGACAAAAAAGCCAAATTTGATTTGTGACATCAATAGGTACTCAGCCAGCATCAGACAGACTTAAGTGCTCAAAAAACCATTACTTTTTTTTCACCGAAGTACTTTTCTAGACACTACATAAGTATTTCCACTTGTGCCAGCCGATATTAATAAGTATCACTTTTATAAAGTGAAAACAATGAATTAGAGTTATAATTAGTGCATGGAGCGATTTTGGCAAAATTAAATATTGCCACCAAATTACCAACGTATCGGTATCAGTGATTTTGCTCAATGAACTGCTTAGATAAAATCTTTGTGGAAAAGTAATAATTTTAAAATGTATTTAGAGAGGGTTTTTTTTGTTGGTGTATTACATTTTATTTTACTTTTTTGATACCTTTTTTTGTATGGGGTAGGGCAGTTAAAGGAAACTACCCCGTAGTAACTGTCTACTAGTGCTGCTGTGAATGATGGACGCTGTAGGGGAGAGTCATCATTCACAAAAACAAATGCCAGCTACTTTACAGCCAGAGGGAGAGACTAGTATAGTAGCTGTTTTTTGTTGATGTGAGTCTATGTTTCTGAGAAAGATGACACTTCTCTCCAGCCTAAATCATTCACAACAAAACAAGACAACAGTTACTACTCCACTTTCTCTTCTTTGAATAGTTGGATGTGGGAGGCAGGTCTTTCTTGTCACTGTGAAGAAACATAAAGTGAAGATCAGAGGAGGCACAAGGCTGCATGATTATTTGGAGAGAGGGGTGGGGGTTCATGTAAGCTCCTATGTGTGCAATGTTACTTCCAGTGGAGGAAGCAGAGGGATGCAGGATGAAAATGGGGAAATGGCTTCAGTACTGGATGAAACTCCTGCATAGAAATGCTTACAAATTGGGCCTCAGTCTGGGGTGGAACTCTGACAGAAACATAAATGTTACTTTATTTGAAAACCCTGCACATATTTGAATGGAACCAAGTATTATGTGTACTGCCCCCACCTCTCCTCCCCAAGGAAGTTTAACAAGCATTTTTATCTACTTGTGAAACTTTTAGCCAGTTTTCTACTCATTTGCATACAGATTTTTCCAAGCCTGTAGACTTTACCTGTAGACTTTACCTGTGGGGAACTGTGTCAAACGCTTTTGCAAAATCCAAGTGTACCATGTCCACCGCCACCCCTCTGTCCAAAGGTTTGCTCACCTCATCAAAAAAAGAAATCAAATTAGTTTGAAAACTTCTTTCTTTCATGAATCCATGCTGTCTGTTGCTTAAAATATTTTTTCCAGCAAGAACTCATCTATGTGGTCTTTTATTAAACTCTCCAGTATCATCCCAACTATAGAAGTTAAACTAACAGGCCTATAATTACTTGGTAAAGAGTATTCAAAGATTAGTGGTTAATGATTCACACTCTGAATGGTCTGGGGTTATCAGTGGTGTACCCCAAAGTTCAGTGTTGGGACCCTTACTTTTTAATATATTTATAAACAATATAGGGTCTGGGATTAAAAATCCCATTTCAGTCTTTGCAGATGACACCAAGCTGTACAGTGGAATAACGTCCTTACAGGATGTCTCCAACTTACAAGCCGACCTCAATGCACTGTTTAATTGGGCAACTATGTGGAAAATGAGCTTTAATGTTGATAAGTGTAAGGTGATGCACTTGGGGGTTAAGAATATGCATGCATCATACATACTAGGGGGAGTAAAACTGGGGTAATCAATGGTGGGGAAGGATCTGTGGGTTCTGGTAGATCACAAGCTTAATAATGGCATGCAATGCCAAGCTGAGGTTTCTAAAGAGAGCAAAATCCTCTCTTATATTAAAAGAGGTATAGACTCCAGAGAGAGAGATATCATATCACCCCTGTACAAATCATTAGTAAGACCTCATCTGGAATATGCAGTTCAGTTTTGGGCACCAATTCACAGGGGAACTGGAGGAAGTACAGAAAAGGGCAACCAAACTGATAGAGGCATGGAGGAGCTCAGCTATGAGGAAAGATTAGAGGAACTGAATTTATTCTCTCTTGAGAAGAGGAGATTAAGGGGGGATATGATCAACATGTATAAATACATCAGTGGTACATATAGTGAACTCGGTGTAGAGCTATTCACCCTGAGGTCATCACAGAGGACAAGGGGACACTCTTTACGTCTGGAGGAAAATGTAATCTCCAAACATGGAAAGGTTTCTTCACAGTGAGAGCTGTGAAAATGTGGAATAGACTCCCTCAAGAGTTGGTTCTGGCCAGCTTAATGGAATGCTTTAAAAAAGTCCTGGATTCTTTCTTGAATACACAGAATATAACTGGATACTAACATTTATAGGTAAAGTTGATCCAGGGAATATCCGATTGCCTCTCGGGGGATCAGGAAGTAATTTTTTTTACCAACAGGAGCACATTGGATCATGCTTTGCTGGGTTTTTTTGCCTTCCTCTGGATCAACTGTGGGTATAGGATTATAACTTTTTTTTTTAATGGTTGAACGGGATGGACTTTTATTTTTTTTTTCAGCCAGACTAACTATGTAACTTATTTAAAGGATAGTTATCTTGAAAAAGTAGCCTAAATAAAATTTATACCTACATGGTATTAAAGTGGACTTTGCATCTAAATAGATGGCTCCCTTTCCTCTTGTTAAAACACATAAAAAAAGTCATGAAAACACACATGTGGCTTTAGACCATTTTGTCTAGACAAGTGTGATGTTCTTCTGTTGGGATCCTGGGGAATGCTAAGCAGCCAAAATGTCACTGAAAATACAGTCCTGAATTGTGCTGCAGTATCTTTTCATGGGATTTGGAGTATTCAGAATTCTTCAGGATCTTATTAAAAGGAGGATGATGTCACAGCCTATAGTACAGAGGCTGGGGAAAAGGCAAGTATATTATCTAATACTAATGCAATGTCCACGCTTATGGACCAATACCCAGACTATAAAGTAGCCGCCCAACACCACTTTATATCCAACACAACATTAATGTGAATAAAACATACAGATGAAACTCGAAGAATTAGAATATCGTGGAAAAGTTCATTTATTTCAGTAATGCAACTTAAAAGGTGAAACTAATATATGAGATAGACTCATTACATGCAAAGCAAGATAGTTCAAGCTGTTATTTGTCATAATTGTAATGATTATTATGGCTTATAGCTCATGAAAACCCCAAATCCACAATCTCAGAAAATTAGAATATTACTGAAAGGAATTGAATCTCGTTCCCTTCTTGCACTGACTCCCGTCAGCCCCTGGCATTGACCAGCAATTACCCTCAGATCCGGAGTTCACCTGAGACACAAAGGAATGGCAGACAGACACAAGGTAGTATCTCAGAATGAACTGAATTTATTCTTCCGTGTTTAAACTTATATATGAAACTTAAAACAAAGCATAGAAATATAAGAACCAGTCAATTGACAGGTATGCATTTAACCAATTAGAATATTACATACGTCAGTCATGCCCAATCAGTTGGCATATATGTTAATTATTAGTATATACGTCAAGCCTTGAACTTTTGGACACCTCAGAAAGCAGACAGTTCCTTTTTACCGTTGGCTTAAAATTATTAATACTCTTTCAACAGGATGTAGCTCACCGCAGACTTTCAGTCTTAGGCTAGTAAAGGAAAAAAAGGGGAAGTTGCACCTGGACAAAAAAAAGAGGAACTTCCTAACTCCTGA